AACATAGTCACATTTACACGGGGCCCGACGCAGGGGGAAGTTCAGAATGAGGGGGGGTGCAGGACTTGCGGAAGAGTGCAAGAATAGAAATATCTGATGGACCGGCACTTCACCCCCACACGCCAACAGCTTTCCCCCGCCACGCCAACAATCGGCGGCGGCGTAATGAAGATGTTGGAATTCCTACGGCTCGACTCCGTTCGTTTGTCCATCCATCCCTTAGCCCGTGTCGCCGCGGTCACGCTCGATCGGTATTATTGTCGAGTTGACCGTCAAATGACGTGTGGCATCACAGCTATTGTTAAGAGTTGTGGCGGCCTGGATAGTGGTGCTGTTCAACATCGGCGCAGCCTTTAAAAATACCCGCCCGATCTCCTGCTTTTCTCACGAGAAAACACAGGAGGACGCGTTTTTTATATCACGCAATACCTGCACGTTGCGCTTTTTGCAGGTGGTTTCGGCCGACGCGAGCGGGAAAATTTTGACATGGGACACCAGGACCGGCGGTGTCGTGGACTCGTACAGCCTTGAAGACCCCATACACATCTCGCACATACAGGTATTCATGTTACGCCGGTGTGGGTAGATGGATCTTACCGTTTTGAAGATTTTTCGAAGGAGTAACCTGGCTCAAAGTGGAGGTCTCATCAGGTGTTTGCACGTGTCCACCCTCGACAACAAAGTTTAAACAGCTACAGTAGATGTAATTCGCAACAAACGTGCTTTGTCTTTTTTTCGTGGATCCTTACCTTTCCTTTATCACCCTCACTCTCTTGACCGGAGGAAAAAAATTCCCATCCTTTCCCCTTTCATTCACGAACATGTTCATTTTTTCACCGTCCCTCTTACCGTCTCCTCGTTACCTCACTCCCCCCCCCCCCCCCCCATCCAAAAGGGGTCGCCCCCGGAAGCCGGCCGGGAGGAAAAAGAAAGGCTAATCCCAACCGCGAAATGGTTCGAAAAAACCCTCAGGGGATTCCCCCCACGCTTCTTGAAATCCCGACCCCCGCCGCCGCCCCCCCGGCCACCGGGAACCAACACCGGGGGGGGAAACAAAAACCGCAATGGGGGCGGGGGGGGGGGCGGGGGCCCTTCCTCTTCTGG